TTATTAGTATAGTTTGAATTGTTTTGATTTGTACATCTTGAAAAATAGTAAACGACCTAAATAAATTACGAGATTAGGGCAAAGGCGTGTATACATAATTCTAGACAACTTTTGTGTTTTAAATTTTTACTAAAAAGATCGATTAGAATTTCTAATCGGATGATCTTGATTACAATAGTTTTTATTCATTTTAGCAATGCAGATTTTAGATGCTGTTTTAACCCACGAAATGAGCTTATTTTTATTGGTTTCGCGTAAACTGAAGTAAAAAAAATATTCTGAACACTTTTTGTGTTTTGAACTTTTCTGAAAAAAATCATCTTAGGACAGTTTCTTTTCATTTTCAGCTTTAGATTTTTCGATTGAATTCCGTCTAGATTCTTCTATCAAGTTTTTCTCTCAACTTATTCAGTTTCTACTAAATTCGTCCACTTAGCCTGTACAACTTTTGTTCTTTGAGTTTTGGTCAATTCGAATTATTTAAGCATGAAACGGTGCATTTTATACTTCTTCAGCAAGTTACTTATGATTAAATTATACTAACTTTATTTTTGCAGAATGTTGGGTCTTACTAACTTTTTATGCAAGGTTGACCCACCATATTTTTATTTTTATTTTGTTTATTTTATACTCAATTTATATGTAGTTATGTACAGGCAAGAAACTAAATACCACCGTATCTCAAGAAACTACCCCTTCATCTCGGTACGGGTGGAACTGCTTGTTTTGTCCCGTAACAAGAATTAAATATACTTTTATTTGTGTTTGGTGGACACGTGGGTGTCAAATATTTGTATTCATACCAGTATACTTGTATACTGACCCGTTTTGTCTCTTGACATCTCAGGTGCCATCTATTTGAGCGCAGCCGAGCTTCCTTTGCAGAATTAGTTGGGGCTACGGTGGTGACGAGAAATAACTACGATTGCAGGACATGTCTTGCGGACGTCGTTTGTTTTCTGGAGTTTAGGGTTGATATTAGTGTATTTTTTTATTTTTTTTATGCCTTTAGTATTTTGATAATTTGGTATTGTGAGTTATTTTTCAATTTTATATTATTTAAGTTGTTTTGACTATTTATTATTACTTTAATGTTGGAGGTATTGAATAGTTATAAAATTATGGTGGATGGTTTGGTTGGTGTTTTGTTGGTTTTTACAATCCCTTGTAATCTTTTGAGCATAGAAATTTACTTAAATCTCATGGAGACGAGAACGTTTAGATTTTATTTCACCCCTAAAATTTAAATAATAGAATATTAATTAAGATTTAATCCTAATTTAATTATCTAAATTTTGGGCATGACATCCTAACCCATATATGTTTCCTTTATAAAATGATAAAGTTGATAAGTGAAAACACACACGAGGGTAAGACTCATTGAATAGAAATTATAATTGTATAATGGCTTTGTTTGGCAAGTGGGTTGAGGAGTGAAAATAGCCTAAGGTCTCATTTGTTTTCAGAGGTAGAATTGAGAGGATTGATAATAGGGATGGCAATGGATAACCTATCCTCTGGGTATTCATGGAGACCCAACCCATATACATGAGTTTTTCTCTTTTTTCTAATCCGTTGGATAGGGGAGGTAATATTCTTTAAATCTCCACTGGGAATGGAGCGGGGCTGGGTACCCATTAATTTCCCCAATTTTTATTTTATTTTATTTTTTTTTCACATCGGAAAATAATTTCTCCATATGTTTTCACTAGGGATGACAATGGGAGTTAATGGGATGGATATTAATTTCCATCCCCATTCCCCTGTAATTATTTTTCCCCATTCCCCATAGATACTACCCTCCACATCTCCTAATGGGTTTGGATTTTTCCTAATCTAACTTTTTTTTTTTTTTTTTAAGATTCACAACCAAAGCTAAATATACATTCAATCTTGTCTTATTTTATTTTATTTGGCTCAACAACAAGTACACGTTAATTAACATTGTCACATTATTCTTGTTAAATTTTATGTATATTTAGAATTTTTTAAATTTATTTAGAAAAATTCTATTCCTACAAAAAAATTCCATCTTCTTTTTTAATTTTTAATTTTTTTTTTAATTTTATGTATCTCCTTCTTCTCTCTATTAATTGATCTTCGATAATCTAATGATGAGCTGTTGCTCTCATTTCCATCTTCTTCTTCTTCTTTTTTTAATTTTTATTTGCATTTAAAGAATATTACTTACCCTACCCGATGAACAAGAAAAAATGGGAAAATCCATGTATTTGGGTTGGGTCTCCATAGATACTCACAAGGCAGGTTATCCATTGACATCCCTAGTTTTCATTACTCTGTTTACAATTAGAGTTTTAATTCTCACTCTCTCTCATCCTCTCACTACAGCAACGACAATTTGCGATGGCGACAATCTAGCGACGACAAGATCGTGACTATTGATAAAAAAACGTGCAATTAATCATAACCAAAAAATGGAAATTGAAAGAAAAAAAAATGTACAAAATTTCAATTAAGGTGATCACTAGTTAAGATGAAAATTGGGAAATTCAATCTAAGGTTACCATCAAATCAGAGAGAAATCCAATAAAACAATTGCTAGAGATATTGAAACAAGAAAATTCATTCTATAAATGCAAATAAAAATTTAAAAGAAGAAGAAGAAGAAGAAGATGGAAACGAGAGTAAAGCTTACCTTCAGATTATCGAAGATCAATTAATAGAGAAGAAAATGAGATACATAAAATTTAAAAAATTTAAAAAAAAATTAAAAAAGATGAATTTTTTTTGTAGGAATAGAATTTTTATAAATAAATTTAAAAAATTCTAAATATACATAAAATTTGACAAGAATAATGTGACAATGTTAATTAATGTGTGTTTGATTTTGTTGTCGAGCCAAATAAAATAAAATAAGATTGAATAAAAAAATTGCTTGTGAACCTGGAAAAAAAAAAAAAAAAAAAAAAGGTCAAGTTGGGTTGGAAAAAATCCAAACCCATTAGGGTATGGGGATGGTAGTACCCATGGAGAATGGGGAATGGGAAAATTAATAATAGGGGAATGGGAATGGAGAATTGATATCCACCCCATTAACCTCCATTGCCATCCCTAATTGATAGTGAGAGAATTAAGTAAAATTATGTTTATTTTGATGATAGTTATTGGTGTAGAGATTGTTAAATTATTGTTTTAGAAAATAATAAAACAAATAAAAAAATACAAAAACATTAAACATTAATGTTCAAAAAAAAAATGCCCAACATGTAAAAAATTAAAAATTTCCAGAAAAAAATAAAACAAATAAAACAATGATTTTTAGTTAACAAAAAATATAAAAAATTAAACATTAATGTTCAAAAAAAATGTCCAAAATATAAAAAATAAAATAAAAATTTTTTAGTCCTTGAGACTATTTTTCTAATACCATCTTCACCTCCTCTATCCTAATCCCCCTTCTAATGCCTATTATAATACCAAGAGATTAAGAGCCTCCTCTCCATCTCTCAAAATAAACATTTTATACAGGTCTTACATTCCTATCAATCTCAATTCCCTCCCAATAGCTCCAAACAAACAGGGCTAAGAGTTGAAAAAAGCAAAAAAAACATGCAAACAAAAAGTGGCCACGTGAGTGTGGCAAAGCTGTTCAGGTATGTGAAAAGACGATTTTGCCCTTGAGAGTTTTTGAAAGTTCCTAATTATTTAATCATTAGGGACAATTTCGTCATTTCTCATCACAACATTTCAGATACACATGTTTTTTAGTAATCGGTGGAATGGTGGACACCACGTGTATTTTAGTAATTGGTGGGAATGGAGTCAAGAAAAAGACTTATCCTCAAAGCATAGCCACTCAAATTGTATTATTTGGAGGCTATTCTATTGTGTTGATGACATAACCACAGTGACGTATATTCAAGTCAATCATACGAACTTTGAACCTTAAACATTAAAAGAAGAAGAAGGAAAGAAAGAAAAAGAAAAACCAAAATCAAGCAATATATTCATCATTTCAGATCACATACATATCTTAGTTTTTCATATTTTTTTTTTTTTTTTTTTTTTTTTTTTTGTGTTTTCATGCCAAGTTAAAATTACCTGATAATGTCTTCTGCAACATTGGTAACAATTGAAATTTGTAAGGGATCAAAAGAGACACCAAAAGGCACCCCATTGTTATCAAATCCTGCAGAGATACTAATTCCAGGATATCTTCCTATTGCTAGAACAGGCGCTAGGTCTGCACGAGGAGTCACCAATGCATCGAGCTTATTCTCTAACATTATCTTTTCAAATCCATATCGTGTTTGGTTAGCTAAATTTGGCAAAGCATTCTTCTCTATCTCTCCGATCTCATTTGTGGCTTCAGCTACCAGAAAGATTTTTAGTAACCATTGGATGTGCCACATGAAACATGCATAAGGTGGTTCCCATTCATGTATATAGTTAAAGAGTCTTGTAAGATGCGCATACATGTAGATGAAGGGTCATAGCTCATGAATGTCTTGGTACATGTGCGACTAGTTTATATTGTTAGATCTTATAATTATGTTTGTAAGGAAGTGAAAAAAAGGAAGTTGGATGAAGTGTTATGTAATAAATTTTGATTTAGTTAAATAAAAATTACAAAGTGTCCTCTTCTTAGCCACTTCTCTCCCTCATTATGATTTAGTGATATTAAGCCCACTGCATATTTTCAACAAACAGTAGAACAACAAGACTAAAAATATTCAAAAATTCAACACCAATACCCGAGCCCTAAAACAATTCTTGTTTCCCCGCTCAAGGTAATTGAACCCTAAAGCAAACCACACTTCTTCGCTTACACTCAATGCTCTTAGTATTTTTCTGCCTCTCCTATATCGCTCTATCATCCCTAGGCAAATCATAGAAATTCCAGCCTCATTTAATTAACAAACCCCTACATAGAATGGATTCCAAATGGATTCCAGACTTCACACCCAACCCAAATAATTGTAAAAAACCAATAATTGTATGGATCCTGCAGAATATAAGGCGCACACAACAAAACCCGGTCCTGCAAAATTCAGCTTTGGCCAAACTTTGAATTGTTAACAAACTTTTTTTGGCAGTTCATATTGACGGATAGAAACTGCAGATCTTATGTTACTCAATTCTTTTTAGTAGGCAAAGCACTTAATATTGTGCTGCATTCACTTTTACATGTCCTGCAAGGACAACAACAATATGGTTGTTCGCCAAAACCATTTCTGGTACCAACAATACATCAGCTAATTATCAAAGGATGAAAAAATTTCATGATACATTTCATGAATTTTTTTCATGACCCCTAGTATTATTCTTAAATTTAAGGTCTAAACAAAGGCTGCTTCCTAATCTTCGTGGCCTGCTCGAAACTATACGCGATTTCAATGAGTTTAGGCTCAAAACCCTTTAATCCTCCAAAACAAATACCAAAAGGCCTCCCATGGTGATCGTACCCAGCCGGAACGCTAATTCCTGGGAAGCCCCCAATTGCGAGCACTCCAGAAACATGTAGGAAATCATATGACATCGGTGTCACCAGTGCATCCAACATGTTAGCTTTCATCAACTTCTGGAGTCCATACTTGGATGCTTCCGTTAAATTTCGCAGCGCTTTCTTTTCCAATTCACCCATCCCATTTGTTTTCTCTGCTTTCAAAAACAAGTCTTGCCCATATTCGCCAATTTTTTCCTGCAGAGCCGCCAAACCATGTATGATTAATCTTGTACTGATGGTGATCCTCAATTGTGTACATAATTCATGCTAACAATGGAATTTATATTTCTATTGGCTATAATTTTTTTCCGGCAGAGCCACCACGTTGTATATGATTAATCTTGTTGAAGCAACATTTGGATTGTTTATTGCAAATTGTAAGTGGTAAATTAATCTAGTAACCTAATCAGTTGTAAAAGAATAAGTGAACATAAATCAAATACACTAAAGCCCAAAACATGTCGAGTCAATTAGTATCTTATGCCAATTTCTCCTCAACAATTGTTAGTTAAAGAGTAAATTCACATAAGTTAGAAGCTTAGGCTTGAAAGAGGTGGTCGAAAGAGAAAAGGGAATTTGTATCTGGTTGATTTGACTAACATTTTATACCAGTATCTCTTTCTTATCCGATCACAGTTTAGCATAAATTAACCTAATTAACAGTGTTCATAGTACAGAGGACCTATTCATTTGCTCAAAATTGCTAATGTTGGAAAGAGATGGTAGTACGTACCAAATCCGAAAATTTCTTGTTGAAGGCTATTGCATCTGCTAATGATCGCACTGGAGAAGTGAGTAGGTCTTTTAGATAAGCATTTAGAGACAACTTGAACTCAGCTAGCAATGCTATGCCTTGATCATTGAAGACGGAGTTCATGATGGGAACGAAGTTGGGAATGTCCAGAATGTCTACCAAAATTGCACCTCTTTGCCTAACATTTCACAAGATTTCGGAGTGTAATTTTAGGATTAATACTGTGTTATGAGTAACCATAGCTAGGGCAATGGCCAGTTGTGCAGAGAATGAGGTCATTCATAAAGACTTGTGGTTAATGGTTACCTTAATGTGTTGAAATGCAGTTTAAAAGCTTGAGAGATGTCTGAGTTGTTAGTGAAACCAAAGAAGGGATAGCTTGTTATCCCTAACCTCTTTCCCCTTAGCCCGTCAACCTTGAGAAATTGTACGTAGCCACCATGTGGGATGTACTTTGAAGCTTTTCTAGTTGCCACAGCATCATAAGGATCAAAACCCACAATGGCATCAAGCACATAAACAGCATCTGATACTGTCCTGCAGATTGGCCTGCCATGTCCCACATGGTAGAAGTTACAATTTGGGTTTCATACAAACACAAAAAAAATTCTCAAAAAGTACACAGAATTCAATTCAAGCAACACTGCATATTGTGAAGCATCACATACCCAACTGTATCTTGTCTAGGTGAGATTGGGACAACCCCTCCTCGGCTGGTGAGGCCTACTTGTTGGATCATCCCATGTGAGCTCCCATTGGAGAACCCACTTTCTCCACCCAATGGAAGTGGCTCTCCCACTCTACCAACCCCACTAGAGAGTGGAAGAGGGTAGGTGGTGACCAATGAGGCTCTCCCTCATTGGTGTATAAATAGAGGTTGAGGGGAGAGTTGAAATCATCAGAAATTGAGTGTGAGAGCTGTGAGTTGAGTGAGTTTTATCTCCTCATAACTATTTTAGTGAATCTCATATTTAATTAAGAAATTATGAAGAAGAATAATTTTAAAATTACTGTTTTGTTCTTTTGAATTGTTTACAATGGCAATGCTAAGTTTAAAATATATTTTATTTTATTTTACTAAAATCACTTTTAATTTTATTTAAATATGACATTAGAATTATATTTCTATTTATGATTTTGCTAATATAAAAAAGAAAAAAAAGAGAAGACTATTATATATTATGAGATTAATTTACACATGTTAAAAAAAAATTAAAAATGAAAAAAAATAGATGTTATATATTGGCTGTGTTTGGTAAGGCTAGCGAACTATATTTCCACCCTTCTATTTGTGCAAGACGTTTGGATACAGATTTGAAAATACAATTCTACCACAGAGTTTAAAATGATATTCGAATTCCCGTTTGGCACATTTCTCCCTCTGTTCAATCTCCACTGTGAAAAGCTTCCAAATGTACATATTTTCTCTCTCTTCAGTCTTTGCCATTTCTGAAAAGCTTTACGTGCAAAGAAAATAAAAGCTGAAGATCAAAGCTCAAGATTCTTCACGGGTCTCGTCTTCTCTCTTTGAATTGAACTGTGAGCTTCAAATCGTTACCATGCCTATGAACCCCCTTCCCATCCATAAATTCACATCCACCAGCTCCCAGAAATCAACGAAGTTTCACTTTGTGCGTTATGGAAGATTCACCTTCCGGGCAACGAAACAACGACAACAAAGAGGTAAGTAAATCACAAATTCATCTGGAAATTATATATGGGTTATATATATCTCACTGATTTGCACCTTCATCCCTAAATTCATCCCCAAATTAATTTGTCTCAGGCCAAATATGGTTCAATCTCCCTCTGTTGTAACTGTTGTTGGTGTGGTGGCCTCGGATTAGACGTTTCACCATGTTCGGGTCTCGCTCTTTTTGTTCTAGGCAAGATTACAGTGTGAATGGCCGGTTTTGGAGGTGGGAAATTTATGATGTAAGAGGTAAGGAAATGGAGTGAAAATGTAAGCAATAGGGAAACAAAATGGAAGAAGCTTCAACTGAGGCTTGGACTGAATTGAAATCGGTTAACCGGCCGGATAACCCACCGGTTGACCTGGAGGTTGACCGGTGGCAGTGGGGTTCTATGAGTGATCTGTTTGGCTAATTTGTTATGGCTCTGTTGGCTTGTCCTTGCCGACCTTCAAATGTGAAAGCCATGTAATTTACAACTCATTGAATTTTTAAACAATTTTTCCTCTGTGTTTGCCTTCAAAATGGCTTTGGCATAGGCTTTCTTATAGGCTCAATTTCAGTTGAAGAAATTCTTGACAGTAGGTGCAGGTGGTGGTCGGTTGTAAGATTTATTTATCAATAATGGAGGTGATTGAACATATGCATGGGTTTGGTTGTTTTGCAGAATGGTAATAAATGTTGATCAACTCACTTCGTAAAGCTTCACCAAGCCTTTGACTCATCTTCATCAATGAAGATGAGTTTCATCAATGACAGGCACTGTGCAAAAATTAATAAATCAAATAAAATTGAATTGTGTGTGATAAATAGAGTAGATGTTACAAAAGCGATATTCGATTTTTTTTTTCTCACTCCTATATCATTTGTTAATATTTTTTGGCCATTTATTTGAACAAAACAAAACAATAAACAACAAATTATTTGTGCCAATAATTGTTAAAAATAAAAAATATATTTTATCTGAAAAATATGAAAAGAAAAATAATTCAAACCAAATACACAAATCAAAATTTGTTTGACATCAGTAATTGAATATTTATTTCAATTATAAAAAAAATAATTTCCTTTGTAAGTTTTTCAATTAAAAAAAATGATTAATGTAATTTTTTTTAGGATTAATTACCAAAAAGTCTTGTCTACATATTTGGTGGTAGCTTAGGTACTGTCAAAAAGTTTTTGAACCAATAAGTCTCATTTATAGGTAAAAAAACGTTTTGCCCCTTAATCCCAAAACTGAGAATGTTCTCAATTTCAAAACCGAGAATGTTCTCATTTTTCAAAACTAAGAAATTTCTCAATTTTTTTCCTAGTATGAACTAAGAGGTATGTGTTCTCTTCTTGCTTGATCACAATCTGTTTGGCTTTTGAGAAAAGTATGGAATTTAAAAGAAAGATAATTCTGCGAACTTGATACATTAGATTGCTGAATTGAGATTTTTTTCATAATTAAAATTGAGAATATTATACATTGAGAATATTCTCAATTTCAAAAAAAAGACTCAGCTGAACAACTCGCTCACTTCGAAATTACACTGCATATGCGTCACATGCACACTACACACCACACACACAATTGAGAGAAAGAGAGAGAGTGTGTGTGTATAGAGAGAGAGAGAGAGAGAGAGAGAGACAATGCAGAGCGATGGGGCAGCACAACCTAAAAATGCTCTCCAACTTCAACCACCACCACCACCACAATCGAGAGAAAGAGAGAGTGTGTGGGTGTATAGAGAGAGAGAGAGAGAATACAGAGCGACGGGGCAGCACAACCTAAAAATGCTCTCCAATTTCAACCACCACCACCACCACAATCGTCTCTGCTCCAGACCGCACGATGATCAAGATTATCGCTTAGATCTACGAAGCCAATCGATCAATGATTAAGATTTGTAAGCCTTTGATGGCGATGGCGATAGCAGTAGCGGTGGCTACGTCCTTGCATAATGAGAAAGAATAAAGAAATCCACGGCGACGACATTATCTTCATCCTCTGCTCCCCTTTCTCCGTCGATTCTCTTCATTCGTCCTTGACCTCTGCACCTTCTCCATACTCAATTTGGTAGTAGCATCGACGTCTTTTACAAAGCCGTATACTAGGGGTGCTGACAGCCAAGGTAGAGGATTCATTGGGCAATATCGACCCAACTGTAAATGAATGACAAGTATATGATCTGTTTAATAAACTATATGATCTTTATCTACATTGCATTGCAACTAAGGTTTCACCAAACTATTCTATCTCTCTCTTTCTCTCCCTTTCTCTCTATAACCATGTGAAGTGGTGTTATTGAATGGTCTTAGATAATCATATATTTCAACAAAAAAAATGGATTTAAAATGATTTCAACAGATGATCACACATTTCCTGAGTCAGATTTGTTGATTTAGGCGGTAGTGGTTCAAATTTACACACGAATTTAATTTTTATTTGTAATTAATGATTGTTGTTGTTGATTAACAAATAAAACAAACAAAAATATAAGATCTATGTGTGAATTTGAACAAGTCTATGTTTGAAGTTGAACATATCATAAGAATGCATAGAGAGACAGATAAAATTTGTGTGCTGAATTTAAACAGGTAGGAAAATTAGAACTATAATTTCAAATAGATAGGAAACACAGGACAAGAATTTAAACAGATAAAATTTTAGAATTTCAATAGATATGAAAAATTAGAATAAGAACTTTAACAAAGATTTTGAACAGATAAAAAATTCAACAATAGAATTAAGTGAAAAATTGAACAGATAAGAAAATTTGGACATATACTTGAATAGATAAAAGGAAAAAATTGAACAGATAGTCAACAAATTTGAAGAGATACACAAAAAATTGAACAAATAGATATAAATCTGAATAGATCAATATAAATTTGAACAAATAGTCAACAAAAAAGTCAACAGATAAACAAAAGTCAATATATAAATTAAGGATAAAATTTCAAACAAAATGTCCTAAAAAATCAACGAAAGAACTTTTCACCAAATTATTTCACAAAGGATGAACCTCTAGGCAACAAAAAATATTCACTAGATCTAATGTCTTATACTTTCCTTACCTTAGACTTTTCAACAATTTACTCTTCAACAATTTAGCAATGGAGACTAATGATCTCACAATGCAACACTTTTATTTATTGTTTTCTTAACAAATTCGCTTGTTAAGTTGTTATCACTTTGGCTATGTTTTGCTTTCATATTTATGGGCTAAATAATTCAAGTTAATAAAGCCATGATTTTGAAAGTATGATCACTATTTACTTGGTTCAAGTTTTTTTAAATTAGTCCCTCACAATAAAAAGCCCAAAAGTGTATGATCAAGTGCTTTATTCATTGACTTATAATCTTTTGCAATATGCTCATTTCTTGTTGCAAGTGCTTTTTTTTTTTTTTTTGTATACATTTTGTCGTTTATGAGGAGTTATTGATATGTTTGCTCATAGTTATTGCCAACAAATTCATCAAATTGTTATGTTGTTAATGACTACTACATGCGAACCCGTAACAATTAAAAAATGATCACCAAACAACGAGTGTAATAACATATCTATTTTTCAATGTAAAAAAACATCATCAATTAAAAAATGATTCATAGGTTAATAATTGATAACATTACTAATAAAATATTAAATAATGAAGGATTATCTTTATCTTTGAATGAGATGATTAGATTTGCACTTATATTTATTTTATTCATGTCCTATGAATCTGCTAATTGCCATTGGAGACTATTTGTAAAAGCTAAACAGTATAATAATTACTCTTTATTTGCTTGATCATAACCAATGGTAAAGCAACTTGATTTGTACTTTGCCATGTATTTTTATGATAATAGTTGTATAAAAAGCAAAAGTCCAAGGGAAGTTGGTAGCTTAGTCAAACATGGATCCATCATCAATGCACCTAATCACTAATTAAAAAGATGAAAACAAGTGTTTATATATCGAATAAAGGAAAATAAAAATAAAAATAAATTATTGTTCAATGTAAAAGAATCTTAATTTATATTTGTTGCAATTCTATGATAATGG